TAGATACAAACACATACATATAAACATCCCCAACACCAACTCATGTCATGGTCTCCAAATGCCACCAACAATCACTATGATGCAATTTGGTCCATATGTTAGATGCATATCTTCCTCCACATGCTATATATTAGACACATTTCCTGTGTAATTTCAATAATTGTTCTTACTGCTGATGTAAGCCCTGAAACTGTTGCTCTCTAATTTGTTGCTAAAGCTGGCCCACTTCTCCATCCATTTCCCTCTCTATAAAACCCCTCTCACTCTTCATGCTGTCATCCCCTGCCCTCTTAGCGAAACAACCTTTGCAACACAAGTTCCAACCAAACCCTTCAAGTGCAAGTTCATCAGAACCTTATAAAGAAAAAAAAGAGATTTGAGCTATGCTTCCAGGTGAGATCATTTCAGGCCTCCACTACCTAGGACCTGAAACTCCAATTCCAGATCCTGCTCACTTTGGCATCATGCACAACAACATGTCCTCTCTCCATTTCAATACTCTCTTTAGCAATTTATCCCAAGCTCAAAACTTTCCTGCAGGCCCTGAATTCACTCAGCAATCTTCAAGCCTCAGCAACAACTCCAGTACTTCTGATGACGCTGAAGAACACCAGCACCTCAGAATCATTGATGAGAGGAAGCAGAGGAGAATGATATCCAATAGAGAATCGGCTCGGCGATCGCGGATGAGGAAGCAGAAACACCTGGATGAGCTCTGGTCACAGGTGGTCAGGCTGAGAAATGAGAACCAGAATCTGATAGACAGGTTAAACTATGTGTCAGAGAGCCATGACAGGGTTGTGCAGGAGAACACTAAGCTCAAGGAAGAAGCTTCTGATCTTCGCCAAATGCTCACAAACCTTCAAATTAGCAGCCCTTATAATATTAATGCTACCACCTTCAGAGAGCTGGAAGCAGAGGTGCCCTGCAACACAGCTCATCTCAGAGCTGAATCTTCAAACCAATCCATTGCTGCATCAGCTGACTTGCTCCATTGAGATAGATGACAATCACTGTTTTCTCATTATGACATAGCTACTTTATGTTCCTTTTGTTCACTATAATTGCTATTTAGTTTTTTCTTCCCTTTACCGTATGAGATTAAAAAGCAAAACAGACCGTGCAAGAACGCACTTAGCCACCATCTTATCTCAACTTGGCTCATATACTTTATCATTTAAATTAAAATCAACACTCACAAATTCAAAAGCAAGTACTTCTACTATTCATAATCTCTTCTCGCCGCATATATATCCATTAATGTACTTGCAGATCATAATTACTGAAATGATATTTCTTTGTAGCCCCATCTCAAAAAATTTATCAAACACTGAATCATGCATATGACCTTCTATCTTTTTCTCATTTGACAATTGAGAACCCCACCAACCCATCTGCAAAAATTAATACACTATGTTGGAATTGCAGTGCTTAAAAAGATCAGAACGAAAGAGAAAATCTCCCATCACTGCCGTAAGTGAAAACAGATTTTATCGAACCAATGTACTAAATTCTGGACAAGAAAGAAAACATACAACGATTGATTTCTGGAGTACAGAGGATGAGCTTGTGGGAACAAACTCAGTGAAGCAGTGTTGCAGTACAGAGAGTAACAGGGCCAACAGAAGGATGACAAAAGGTGGTGGAGGTTTTGGTGCTAGTGGTGGCTCATCATACAAAATGCATGAGTCATGACTACTATGAGACACAAAACATTTGAAAAGGGTTTATCCACTAGCAAGCAAAATCACCCACCTCCCCTCAGAAATGTTTTGTTTTTAGCTTTTCTTGTGAGGGCACCAACGCCTGTGACCTGTCTCTGTTGTCTAACTTTGTTCAGCCAAACTAAGCTTCCATTTGCTTTTATGAATTTGAATCCTGCCAAGAAAGCCTATGCTTCAGGTGTTGCTTCAACAGCACCTTTAGCTTTCTGGTACTGTTTGGAGCACACACACATGCATATGCCATTTATAATGCAGCATTATCAATTAACTTGCCCCACCATATATATATATAGGCCCACTCCGTATTGTATTTCACTAATCCAAACCGTTTATGTTTTATAAAAAAATCACTTGAATCCGATATTGTTTGACCACTCAATTGTGTTATTGAAATTTTAGTATTTTCTTGAAGCACCATATTCATTGATTTTATAGGACACAATTGAATGTCGAAACAGTTTCCAATTTGTCTAATTGTTTGCAAGGATGATCTATGAATGTAAACTTTAAAAATAGATTGTTTGGATCGTTGAAAAAAAATTCATAAGGGAACCTAAAGGATGTCCCTCAAATAAAATTATTTGAGGGATCCCTCAATAGAAGGGGATTGATAATTTTATTTGAGGGACACCCTTTAGGGTCCCTTACGAATTTTTTTTCAACGATCCAAACCATCTATTTTTTAAGTTTACATTCATAAATCATCTTTACAAAAAATTAGACAAATCGGAAACCGTTTCGATATCCAATTGTGTCCTAGAAAATCAATGAACACGGTGCTTCAAGAAAGTACTAAAATTTCAATAATTCAATTGAGTTGTCAAATGATATCGGATTCAAGTGATTTTTTGTAGAGATGATATTTGAATGAGTATCTACAAAATAGACGGTTTGGATTAGTGAAATACAATATTGAGTGGGCCCTACAAAAATGTCCTTCAAATAAGCTTATTTGAGAGATCCCTCAATAGAAGCTCTATATATATATATATACCCTCCAGCCTGAGCCAGGCCTCTACCCCCTCATAGTATATATGTGATCGTATTGCATGAGAATATTCAATATATTCAGTCATAAATCCTAATGTTTAAGCAGCAGTTTATACAGAAGGTAAGGCAAAGGATATATTAGCACAAAACACAAACATCTTCAAATCTTACTTTTGATCTTTTGTGTGGGCCATTCAATCAAACAGCTGCTGTGCAGTTTTTTGACCTTCAGAGACTGATAGATATGAAAAGAAAAATGAAAGTGAGGAGAAAAAAACTTGTGACAATGAGATAAGAAGAATGGGATAAACCAAACCAAATAGATAAGTTAAACGTGTTTTTATTTTCGTCTAATAATTATAGTTGACAAATAGAGACCAGTCACCAGTGCTGCTACTGCGACAATGAAAAAGAAACCTTTGAATTTACCATCAGTGGAAAAAAAAAACACATTGATGACAGACATTCATATATACAATTTTTAAATAATTTTTTATTTGATCCCCCAAATCTAGATTTCGTTAGGTATAAAACAATTACCGTGATATAACTTTATTTAAGACTTCGTTTGGTAGGCTGAATTATATAACTAAATAAGATTCATAATCATAGTCGAATGTTTGGCTACGTTTGGCTGCCCAAAAGCAACTTGGATTGGATATGTGTTATCCTGCAAGCCCCAAACGTAGTAAGATAAATAATCTCACCTCAGTTGGATGAGATTATGTATATTTTACTAGGCCATGTAATAGTATATTTAAATTAATTCAGTCTTTTACTTATGTGTAATGTCAAACACATCATTGAATTAGTGTTATCCTCTCCAATTCAAATCACGAAAGATGCCCTAACACTTAACAAGTGATCACTGGCGGTGCCAACTAAAGACCTAGGAGGGTCAGCTAACCCTCCTACCATTTCAAGTTTCTTCTTTGAAAGAACATTTTGACCATTCTAAAGTGTTTTTGACGTGTCTACGGTTGACACTTTCTACTTGTAGCATCTCTATCTCATAAAATGGTGTTTTCATCTTCTTTATTTCATATTATAAATTATGTAGTTGAGATATCATGTGTTTATGAGAACTCCTTTTTTTAAGTAATTAAAAAAGATCTATGGATCGTTCTCTAATTTTCATCCAATGTTACAACGAGATTATCATAATTGTTTAAAGTTGACCCTATTTAACAAAATTTCTAACTACTCCACTGCAGGTGATATCAAAATATAAGAGCACTTCCAAATATGATTTTGCACATATCAGTGCTACCTGGAAGGTAGAGTCATACAAAGTAATGGAGACATTTCCTTTATCACATAAAGGACGATTGAACTCCACTTTAATATGTTATCCAAGTTATCCTTAATTGTGTACGTCCAAACAACTCCAGTTGAATATGTTATCCTTGTAGTTTACGGCAAATGTTTAACCATTTTCCGACCCAGCTGCATTAGCATGTCCTTAGTTTTATAAAACTTTTTGGACATCTAAGTTTGGTCCCAACACACACATCCAAAGTGCATTCCACTAAAACTGCCGTGCGCCAAGTTTGACAACTGACCTAACAATTTTTAACCACGTTTAGTGTCCTAATAAAGAAAGCGGGCAACTCGTATCATTAAATTGAACAACAATTCCACATATTTGAGAAAACAAGTTTCATCATAACGATGAGACTCTAAAGAACAAGAGACGGAGAATCTAGTCACAATCATGTTGGATTTTTCTAAGTCCCAACCAAAGGCTACAAAGATGTCAACCCAAATCTTTCCACCAAAACCCTAATCAGAAAAACGTTTTATAACTGAAATGCAAATTAGACCACGTGAAGCAATTAATTGTGCAGCAAATATGCTACTTGGCAACACCTTCTAAGAGGGCTGAAGTTTGCTTTTCCCTTCAACTTTGACGATATAAAAACTAAACAAAAGTTAACAATCACCGATGACGACTTATATGGTCCCTTCCCTTGCACATTGACTTGCAGCAGGCATGGAGTAATGGAAGCATGCATCCCTTGAAGCATCAAGCGATGATGCAAGGGGAGAACGATCGAATTTCGCTAGGAGTAACATTCCCAAATTCTTAAAGAGTTTGAAGGCACTCTCAACTCTTTACAGTGTGTATCTGCAATTTGTTTTTAGTTGTCATGCGGAATTGAAATTTGAGAGGAAACAAAGTGGTTATTGTTGGTTTTTTAATATGCCAATTATTGATGTTTTTCTAAATTTTATCATCCAGACATTGATGTCAAAACAGCCAACATGTTTTCATACTCAAAGAAATGAAATGACCCCCAAGCTTTAACTTTTCTGGTCAGGTCATATTTGTAGAACCGTAAGCTAACAAGTCTTCAAAATTGGACTTGTATACAGTTTATTGCAAGATATACAAAGATATTTCAGGCTAACATTCCACAAATAAACATTACAATTACAAAAACCAGATTGATAATTCTGCTACTTAAGACAACAACGCTATTATAGTGTAACTTGTTAACTTACAAGTCTCAAGTCATTCCTCCGGTTTTGGTTTTCGAGTTCTATTCTTATTTCCGTATATCAAACCAGTCTCCTGAAAAACAATTCAAAATTCTAATCAACCAACAAGGAAATGAGAAATTCAATTATATGCACTTGGAATATCATAAACTCGGATGTGGACGAGTTGCAAGGAACAATACCTGAGGATCAGGAACAGGTTTCCTTTTCTCTACATAGGCATGTGGATCCGCAGAGGCCAAAGCAGCCCTTTCCTGTTGTTCTCGCTTGAGGTCCTGTGAGGGCTTAACCCAAAGGAAGTAGGCTAAGGTCCCAGCCACCACCCACGAGGCCAGGTTGCTTCCTCCTCTTAGGCCTCCCATCGAATTCCCTACAAACGACCTCACATTTCCCAATCTTCTCCTCCAAGTGGTTGTCATTGCTTTGGAGTTGTAGCGTTTTGTATCCTATTTTGCTGATTGGGGGCTTAGGGTTTTTGATCTCCCTGCTCTGCACCTCCTTGTCAATATTTGCAAATTCCAAACCTTTGCGGTTAGTTTCAGAACGAACACTGAGCCTTGATCATTTCAGTCCTGCTTGAGGATTAAGAAATCAAATAGCCACCAGGCTGCGTATTAAAACGCGAGTCAAGATGAAAGCGCAAGCAGACATTGTTTGAGGCAGGGAACTAGAGATATGTTGGGACCATTAGACATAACCTAAATATGTGAAATAAGAACTACTTCTATAAAAATAACAACTTTGATGCATAACGTGAATATGATTTCATATCATTTGCATATCAAGTATTGCTGATGCATAAACAAGCATAAAGCCTATCTTTGGAACTGCATTTTTTTCAAGAGAGTGCATTGCATTGCAAGAGCTTTGCTTTCATATTTCCTAAGAAAAAAGCACAAATTGACAATGCCCAGATTCAATTAAATTAAGATTACGTATGGATGTGCTATCCATCTCAGATTAACATACGCTTCACTCTTCGGGAGTTGCAATTTCAATGGCCAAATGGAACAAAACGAAGAAAAGTTTCAGTAAACAAACAACAGATAAATCAGACCCACACCGACACCGATCAGATGAGCTACATCATTCAAACACACAATTTCATATAAATCAAATCGAATTACAAATACATAAGCTCTAAAGTATAAATAAAAATTGGGATCAACAGTAACAAGGACAACAAGCCTGACGAAAAATTACCCGATTGCAGAGAACGGAGATGAGCAATCGATACAGAAACGAAGATGACCAACTAAGCTCACGAGTATGCAGAACTGTGATGGCCGATAGACGGAGTGAAAGAGCGGAGAGCTACGAGGAGGCCGCAAATAGAACGAGGAGGGTTCGGTTGAGCGGAGCCTAGGAAATCTTTTTGATTCGGTTGCGCTAGCTTGCACGGGTTGCATAGAACAGCCCAATTGATAGCTGCCACATATTTATTATTTATTCATATTCGTTTTTTGTATATTCTGTCGGTTAGGTTCGTAACAGACTTATCCCTCCGCTTCTCATTTGACAACTAACCTAACACACGTCTTTGGACTTCTTTGGTGAATCGGTTTGGATTGAATTGGAGTTAAGTTCAAGTCGGTCCTTATAAATTGTAAGATATAATATATTGGATGATTGTCTAATTTAACAACGGATATAACTCTTGTCAATTTTAATTGAATTAGTCTAACTTAGTCCGAACCACCAAACCTAGATCCATGACATGACACAGCCACGAAATTCTATAGTAAATGTGTCATATATGGATCCTTCACGTGGCTATCATTTCATTAAATTTAAGGGAAGTTACTATTAATGAATTATATGGCAAATATGAAACTTCATATCTACTCTTGTCAATTTTAATTGAAATAGTCTAACTTAGTCCGAACCACCAAACCTAGATCCATGACATGACACAGCCACAAAATTCTATAGTAAATACCCTTCATGTGACTATCATTTCATTAAATTTAAGCAAAGTTACCATTAAGATGAATTATATGGCAAATATGAAACTTCATATCTACGTTCTATATATGACACCTCACCGTAGACCGACTCCAACACAGCCCCAATTCTTTATTGAGGACCTGGTTAGTGGTGTCCAGTGGAAAGAGCCCATTCTTGAACTAGGCCTTTGAGCCCTCAATTTACAGGTCTTACAGAATGAATTTGCTCTGGACTGGTACACACAAACAAACATAACTTTGACTTTGGTTTTTCATTTGAGCTAGGTCTGGGATGTAGTGTGAAACACATCATTGATCAACTTAAACACAAAACATGAGTTTCCTTCATTACAGGATGCAGCAAAAATTTATAAAATACAGTGACTAGCTAGTGAAGAGAAAATATATTATATTTTAGTATCATGGTCCAGTAGAGCTGATGTCTTGTGTGTAGAAAATGAATTTGCTCTGGACTGGTACACACAAACAAACATAACTTTGACTTTGGTTTTTCATTTGAGCTAGCTCTGGGATGTAGTGTGAAACACATCATTGATCAACTTAAACACAAAACATGAGTTTCCTTCATTACAGGATGCAGCAAAAATTTATGAAATACAGTGACTAGCTAGTGAAGAGAAAATATATTATATTTTAGTATCATGGTCCAGTAGAGCTGATGTCTTGTGTGTAGATATAGTCTGTGTGAGCAACCATGGACCTTCTGATCAAACACTCTTCACTGTTTAAACCCTTGCAAGCATCATCATCATCCACATCCAGGCTTGGTTCCTCCTACAAATTAGAAAACAGAGACCACAATAAAGTTAAAAACTTTAAAAACAGACTAGTCACCAACACCATATTTCTAATTTTGTGAATCAACAAGAGATTAATTGGAGAAGGGATCAAAAGGGAACTTACAATAGGTGATGATCTGATGGGAATATTGGAAGAAGAAGCATTTGGATCAGACTCAGGTAAAATGGAGGCAGCAGGCATTGATCTGGCTTCTGCCCTTGACAACAGAAGTAGAAAACCCAAAAGGAAAATCAAAGTGAGCCCATTTGCCATTGTTTTCATCTCAAGCTTTAAATAACAGATTAAAAAAGCTCTGTGTGTCTCCTTTATAAAGAACAGATGGAGAAGAAAGAACTGAAGGCTGTAAATTGGGTTTTGAGTGTTTTGACTTGTTAGAGAGAGAGAGAGGGGCAGGCAGGCAGGCAGAGTAAATGGCAATGATATGGAGTGATGATTCTGTCTTTCGAGTTTGGAGGAGAAGGAGGGTGCCAAAATGCCATGAATGAGCATTGATTGATTTGATGTTATAATTGTGCAGCAGCAGCAGCAGCCTGTAGAGTGCAGAAAGTCAAAACGTTGCCATTACCCATATCAGCTCAATGCTCATCTCTCTCTCTCATTTTTCTTCCTAGGAAAAATCACCATTTAAGGACATCATTGAGAAGCGTTTCTCACCTGTTGATGTTGGGGACCCATTGGTCATTTGCATCACAGAATCATTTGCTCTCTTATTTTTCTTAGGTTTATATATAATTTGTTGGTTTTCATGAGGGTTACAAACAAAAATATCACTACACTTAAAGCTTACAATTGCACATAAAAGATATATATAAGTGATATCGGAGATGGGCGAATCGAAATTAGAAATCATTATGATGCATAGATAAATATTGTTCACCACTTGAGTTACAAGTCCTTTATAAAACAATTTTATTTTAATACATAACGAATTTGAATATCGAAAAGAACATCATGATTCATAACCACGTTGAAATCCATTGATCCCAGACAAGCAAATACAAAGTTTTGATTTTGTTGAAGAGCCTTGTCCCCTCGGGGGTCAAATGCTATGTTAATGTAGAATGATTTAAAAGGATCTTCCACTTTTCATTACCACATTTTCCAGAAATTACAAGGCTAACATAAGAAGATGGGAAACCCCAGGAACATGGTGGATAATTCGGCATTAAAACTACATAAATCAGAGAGCTTTTGCGGGAAACATGAAGCCCCTTCTATTCTATTCTATGTTATCAATAAAATATAAATCATCATTATAAAAAGATCGTGCGTCACCTTGTTACTTGTTATTAGACAGATTATGCAATCGAGGCCCGTTGACTGTATACTCATGCATGGCTTTGATCTTAGAAAATTAGAAACTCTCTTTGGTTATATTCCCCATAATAATAATCAAGTGATTTTGTTGATGCAAACACAAAAATATATATAATGTAGTTGTGGGTTAGACTAGTTGGTCATGACAGTGAAACCGTCTATTTGCTATCAAGGTTCTATACCCCGACTAGTAAATGAGATTAATTTACAGCAGACACTCAGTTAACACGACAGGGGCTCAAATGGGCTGGGTTTACCAGTGACTTTCTTATTGGGGCCGGCTTAAGCTATGGCCCCGTTACGTGTGTACAGTTAGTTGGCTTTGAGATAGCGCCAAAATAAGTTCCAAGATTTTTTCTCTTTTTCCCGTTAGAACTCTCTCCTCTTATCCTCCAAAACTTCATCAAAACTATCTTCAAAGTTATCTCCAAAATTCAAATGATATTTGCAGGACCAAACTCCGGCGTTCAAATAAGGTTCAACTGGTGAATCAAAGTTTTCAACGATGGCATTTTCTCCAACTCCCATCTCTTCTTTCTCCCTCACCAACCCAACACTGCCCAAAAGGATTTCTTCAGTACCTTCTGCTGTACACTCAAAAGGCGTAGCCAAAGATCTCATCTTTAACCACGACGGTTCAGCCACAAAGAAGCTGCTGGTACCCTTTTAAGCAACTGGGTTTTTGTTTGCTTGGCATAATATGAAGTGGGTTGATGGTTGATTTGGTGGTGGTGCAGGCAGGCGTGGACATGGTGGCAGAGCTGGTTGGGGTTACGTTGGGCCCAAAGGGAAGGAATGTGGTGCTGCAGAATAAGTATGGACCTCCCAAGATAGTCAATGACGGTGAAACTGTCCTCAAACAGGTCTTGATTATTTTATCCAATTTAACCTTATTGGGGTTTTTGATATTTGGTTACTTTTCTTAACTGGTTCTGTTTTTCATCCTTTGTTAAGATTGAGTTGGAGGACCCTGTGGAGAATGTTGGAGTGAAATTGGTGAGACAAGCTGGTGCAAAAACAAATGATCTGGCTGGAGATGGTTCCACTACAGCTGTAATTCTTGCTCATGGCTTAATCGCTGAAGGTGTGAAGGTATGAATGTCATGTCATTTATAGCTTGTCTATTGACTAGAAGAAGGAAAGTACTTCTTCATGTGCTAAGTTGTATCTTTGTACTTATTTAGTATGGCCACGGAGGCTTATCGATAGTTTGTGAAGTGGCTTATGTTCTTATCGACCGATTTTAATTTCTAATAGTGGTACTAGTTTGTGTGGGAATAAAACATAGGACTAGAAGAAGGAAAGTACTTCTTCATGTGCTAAGTTTTATCTTTGTACTTATTTAGTATGGCCACGGAGGCTTATCGTATAGTTTGTGAAGTGGCTTATGTTCTTATCGACCGATTTTAATTTCTAATAGTGGTACTAGTTTGTGTGGGAATAAAACATATCCTCTGCTATAACGCGAGCAAGCATTCAGTTAAGCTCTGGCAACATTTTTGTATTGTACATAAACTTTCTTCTAGGTTACTGCAGCTGGCATGAACCCCATTCAAATTGCTCGTGGCATTGAGAAAACTGTGGTAGCCCTCGTTTCTGAACTCAAATTGATGTCCAGAGAGGTACCCAAGTTTGTTTATCTTCTTCTAATTGTTTGAAAGATTGCAAACTCTGGAGATATTATTCAAAACCATGACTAAAAGTATAGCAGAAACATTACATTAGGCTGTAAAGAGCATTTTACACAATATTTTGTAATTAATTCAGCTTGCAGCCTATGACATATTTTACTATGCAGATTGAGGATCATGAGCTTGCACATGTTGCTGCAGTTAGTGCAGGCAATGATTATGCAGTGGGGAATATGATTTATGAGGCTCTTCTTCAAGTAGGAAAGAAGGGTGTGGTTACTATTGAACAAGGGAAAAGTACAGAGAACAATCTACAAATTGTGGAAGGAATGCAGTTTGATCGTGGATACTTATCCCCTTACTTTGTCACTGATAGAAGAAGAAGGATAGTGGAGTTTGAAAACTGTAAGGTAAGAACTATAAATTACATACAGGCTGACATATTCTCCTATGAAGTAATTAGAGGTCATAAACTTCGCTGGTTGCAGTTACTTTTGGTCGACAAGAAAATTACAAACCCCAAGGAGATGTTTAAATTATTGGACAATGCGGTGCAAGAAAAGTATCCAATTGTGATAGTTGCAGAGGTCATTGAGCAGGAAGCTCTAGCTCCAGTAATTAGAAACAAACTCAGAGGTGTGCTGAAAGCAGCTGCTATTAAAGCTCCTGCCTTCGGTGAGCGCAAAAGCCACTACTTAGATGACATTGCCATCTTGACTGGAGGTAGTAGGCTAAACACCAAAGTTTAGATATCTAATTAACTCCATTACCCTTCTTCACAATCTTCATTTTGGCTTTGCTTGTATTTTGCAGGAACTGTAGTAAGAGATGAGATGGGGATTATCCTAGAAGATGCTGGCAAGGAGGTTTTGGGTACTGCTACTAAGGTTGTGATAACTAAGGATTCTACATTGATAGTTACCGATGGTAGCACTCGAGAAGCTGTTGAAAAGAGGGTTTCTCAGATACAAAAGCTTGTTGAGGTACATTCAACATCTCTTGGTACTCTTCTTTGGTGCTCAAGTGTAGAATGAACATATTGGTAGTATTCTCTGATCAATACACACTCTAATATTTGTTTTTCAGAACACTGAAGAAGAATTTCAAAAGAAGATATTAAATGAAAGAATAGCAAGATTATCAGGGAGAATTGCTATTCTGCAGGTAATGGAAAATTTAATGCACTCAGCATCTTTATAATCTGAATGTCTGAAGACTGGCTTTCTTTCAAGATGATGTATTTGGTTTTAATAATTGAATCGTAGGTAGGAGCACAAACACAAGTTGAGTTAAAAGATAAACAACTTAGAATCGAAGATGCTTTGAATGCGACCAAGGTAGGTAGCTTCTTGCTTGCTGTTACTATTTTGACAAGAAGTTGAATGCCATTAGCAAATGGTTGATTTCTAACCAGGCTCATAATATAGGCAGCAATTGAAGAAGGTGTTGTAGTTGGTGGTGGCTGCAGTCTTTTGAGGCTCTCCAAAAAGGTGGATGGTATTAAAGAACTTTTGGATAATGAAGAACAGAGGGTACGCTTATCTCAGATATTTCAATAAAATATTATCTCAATTTACTTATGCATGTTTTCATACTGTTCTATTTGTCTCCACTAAGCTTTCATAACCATTGTGATCTTATATCTACTGTGCGCAGATCGGAGCAGAAATCTTCAAGAGAGCTTTAAGCTATCCTGCAAAACTGATAGCAAAAAATGCAGGTGTAAATGGAAATGTTGTAGTTGAGAAGGTCTCTGCATGTTAAATGCATTATCTTCTTAAAACGTAATTTTAGACTTTATGCACTTCACGCTTTATGACCAGACCAGATATATTTGATCAAACAAACTCCTCTGTTGAGACTTGTTAAATTTTGCAGATTCTATCTAACGATAATATGGGGTATGGATATAATGCTGCGAAAGACTGTTACGAAGACCTAATGAAAGCTGGGATCATGGATCCATCGAAGGTATTGTAATATTTAATGTCTTTTGAAGAAAACTTCAACACTTCATGACATATATAACCTGGGATCATGCATGTTAAAATATGCTATGCAATATAGTCTGGAGTGAAAATGTAAAGCAGTCACAGTTCCCTATCAAAAATTGGACAGGTTGTTAGATGTTGTTTGGAGCATGCAGCATCAGTCGCCAAAACTTTTCTGACATCCGACGCTGTTGTAGTCGACATTAAGGAAACACAGCCCTTTCCAAGAAGAATGCCACCAAAGCTGCCCAATATCCCAAGAAGAATGCCACCAGAACTGCCCAACATTCCAAGAAGAATGCCACCAGACCTGCCCAATATCCCAAGAAGAAGGCCAACACCAATGTCCATGTCCATGCCAAACTCAGGTAGTTCCTGCCTTCCAAACAAAGGGTTTTGTTTCTCTGATTTTCCTGTTTCACTTTGATATATTGGGACTGTTGAAGTGATAATGAATTCAAACATCTGATCATTCAGGTGCTGGACCATTTGGCCTTTAGATGGCAGATGATGGCTATACTGATGCAGCCCACAAAACCCTGATTTCATCTATCTGAGCAAAGTTGAAGGGGTCATGAAAGAGCCATGAAATAAGATAGCTGTTCATAATTCAGCTACTGCACATCAAGTGGATGGCTTCAAAATTACATGAAGTTCGCATTGGGGGCAAGAATGCTACTACTCTGAAACGCAATGCAGCAAGATAAGGTGGTTGCCTGTTTTGTAAATTTACAAGAAACAAATGACTAGCTGTTAATAGGAAATTTTCTTTTTACACATTGTATGTAAGACCGACCAGAGGCGTCCTACCATGTTCATACAAGGTCCATAACTAGATTGTTTGCGGTACAAGATTGACATGTAATAGGAATTCATTCTTTGTCCACGATCAAATTTATCAAAATCCTCTGTGATTTTAAGGTTGCACAACTTGAGCTTATAAGAGTGAGATTTCATGGGACATACACAGCATAAATATGATAAACAAGTGAAGCACTGCATCCAAACCGTTGTGGATAAAATCATTAAATTCTCAACACAGTAAATAGTGCCTTCTTTGACTAAATAAGTGAATAAAAAACAGCCCCAGTAAAAGAAAGAGTAAAATGCAGTGGCCGAAATAGTGCCAAATCGCATGAAATGTTTTTCTAATACAAGTGATAGTTTAAATTACTTTAAATTAATTTAATTTACGAGGAAAGAAATTTGAAGTTGGATGCAGGAGGCGAACTCACTGAAGTTGGATGCAGAGGCGAACTCACTGCCTGATCGGTTAGCCTACTTGCCATCAAATGTTTGATACATGTTCCAATGAGATGGAGATGAGATAAGACTGAAAATAGCTTTGAATGCCGAAGTATGAACATCAACAAGAAAAGGCAGGTGTTATATCTCAGCAAGCCCACCGGTCTGTAATAACAACAAAAGCCAAGTGGGCACCAAAAACAACCTCACCGACTGGTTTCTGATCCTCGTCATTTTTCCAGCTTTTATTGATTTCGTCAACATTTTATAAAATTAAATTCTTGTTAACATTATTTTTACTTCCATTTAAAAGTTTTTTTTTGTTTATACTTTCTTCTTGTAAGCCCAGTTGAAAACCCAAAAAGACCAAAGCCCAGAAAAACAGAACAGCCGCAACCCTTCTCTGTAATGTAACTGTAAGGCGAGGAAGACACGTGCAACTGCAACAGCATCACAATATTCACCATCCCCAAAAGTGGAAGAGCCCCTTCCCAATTCCCGAAACATTTCTTTGTAATTTTGTTGCCTTACGTTCGTCGTTGATCCTTCTCTCTCCTTTTGTTGTTCCTTTGTTCTGTCCTCGCCTTCTCAGCCTTAAATGTAGGTAGAGACACCTGGGTTTCTTCTACACAATTCTTTTACAAGCTGAGTTTAGAAAAATCCATTTCAAATATAAGCAAGAAGTGGGAAAATGATGTTCTTGATGGGTTTGAGCATCCAGAGCCTATTGGATTTGGCGGTGGCAGGGATTTCTCTGATGATCGGTTTGGGAATTTTTGCGTTTATTGCTTCTATTCTTTGCTCTGCTGCTTTCTTGCAAACCGCCAGGGACGTATCTTGATCCTTCACTCAAGGTAAAATTTCCAATTCAGATTTCGTCAGCTACATCAATCTTGTTCTGGGCCTTTATCAAGTCCTTCAATTATGCTGTCAACTTCATCAAAATGAAATCTTTCGTTTGATTGATGGTGTTAATGATTTGACAGATGGTGCTTGTTTGTCTTTCGATTGGCAAATTTGACGCATTTTTCCTATATGGGTTGCCTGAACCGTTCATGCTTGGCAATAAGCTATGATTCGATTCAACTGTAGCTCTTGCTATGAAGTATTTTTGTTGGATTCAATAAAATTCTCTTCTTCATTTTTTTGGGTCAGATCATTCTCTTCTCTTTTGTCTGGGTGAATTTCCCCTACCCTGAGGCAGCTGCCACAAGTTACATGATTTCATAGTTTTCTGCAACAACAACTAATGATTTTCCATCAGTAGAATCATGAGCCAAATTGCTTGTTTGCAAAAATTCAAAAACTACACAAGGCTTTCTTCTTCGGGAGGAAGACAAGAAACAATCAATGAGAGATACAACAATCCAGAAAAAAGCACAGAATTTCTGTAATGGCCTGTGCTTTGCTGCTTATCTTTACCATTAATATTTACCAAACAAAAGAAATCTTACAATTAACCTATCAAATGAATATTTATCAACCAAAACAAACAGTGAATATTTATGTCTTCCTTTTGGGTTTTCTGGAGTACACCATTCCCCGGATCCCATCCGGATCCGCCACAAAGCCCAAGGGCCTGTAAAACCCGAGAACCCGGGGCTCCGAATACAACGCAATATTACAAATCCCTTTCGCCACCAACTCCTCCACCAACCTCTCCATCACCGCCTTCCCCAGCCCCAGCCCCTGAAACGAGGGGTCCACCACCACGTCCCATATGATTGCGTTGAAAACGCCGTCCCCTGTCGCCCTAGCAAACGCCACAGGCCTCTTCGTCTTCCTGTACTCCATCCACAGCAGCGCATCGGTGTGCTCCAGCGCCGTTCGGATCTTATCCGGATCCCGCTTCGGAAACCCGACCGCCACGAAGACCTTGTTGAGGTGGTCCATGTTGAGCTCCGCGATCGTGCGGTGGAGGAGGAAGCCTCGGGAGTCGAGGTCTTGGTCGGAGATTGAGTAGTTGTTGGTGGTGGTTGAAGTGCGCCGCGAAAAGGAGACGTTTAAAGGGGGAGTGGAGGTGGTGGTGCTTCTGAGGCGGAGACAAGAGAGGGGAGCGGAGATTGTGCCACGTAGGAGCATGTTTTAGAAGATGATGAGATAACAGTTTGTCTCCCATGAGTGACGCCACCATTGGGTTTTTGTATGGATGCGTTGTACAGTGTTTGAGTGTTGGAATTGTTGTTGTGCGTCGCCGTTTCAAGATACGTAATAGTGGAGGCATGAAGGGCCCTTAAACGGTGTCGGTTTGTCAAGTTCACTGACCAAAAGAAAAGAAAAAGGAAAACGTATCAATAATATCTGGAAAATGCTTGTGGGGGTCTTTTTCGTTCTAGCAGCTTGACGAATGGGCCTGGGCTGCTGTAAAGAGAAAATGGCTGGAATCGCCCCTTGTGTCTGAGTTCGAGAATCAAACCCCAAGTGTGCTTCGAAAGGGTAGGGAGAAGGAGACAAGGAGAGGGCAATGGGTGGCTTAAGTGATTTTTCGGCAGCTTGACGAAAGCTCTGTCAAGCATTGGAACAGTTCTGCCAAGAGGGAAAATGGGGAAGAATGATGAATAGTGCACGAAATTGCTAGGTTTTGAAGATGAGAGGGAAGCTTGCTCTCTGGATGTGTGTTATGAGATAGAGGAAGAAGATGGAAGAACAAAGCATGAAATTGAAGGATTCCAAAGGGGATGCTTGCCTTCGATCGATTCTCATGGTTGCTGGGAGGCTTGCAGCAACCAAGCTGAGTTGTTTTGCTGGGTAGAAAGTGCCTCCTTTTATAGGCGCTGGAAACCCTTAATTTTGTCAAGCTTCCCTCCCCTTTCTCTTCACTTTCTTTCATTTAATCTTATTTGGTGAAACCTTCCTAGCCTGAGCATGTAGGCATGAAACTTTTTGGAGTTCCAAGACCTTCACACAGCTGGACTTCTCCATGTGGGTGAGGAGCCACTCACTTTTCCTTCTTGTTTTCTCACCAAAGCTTGAAGAGGAAAGAATGGGTAAGGGTGCTAGTCAAAAGATGATTTACTTCCATCAGCACATGGTTTTGCTCGGTTTTGATGGTTTGGCTTTGATATGGTTTTAACAAAGATATTTTCCACGATGCTGGGCTGGGCTATTGGTATTTTATTTTCAGCGGCCTGTGAGTTTGCTCAAGCTGCTGGAAAACAACCTATTTGATCAAGGTGTTGGATATTTTGGCTGATGTGGGACTTTTCCAAGTGTTTGCAGGCCATTGGATATTTTCCTAAGCTATTGGGTTTTCTCTCTCATGCTTACCCATATGTTTGGGCTCAAGGAATGGGCTTGAGTTTTGGTGCTCCCAAGTAGCCCAAAACTTCCACTCCTTGGACCATCAATGGGCCTCGTGAATACTCATAACCATCCATACCACAACCCGCTCAGCAAGCCCCAGGCATTCACGTGGCTTGGGCCCACTTAATCTTGTAGCGTGGCATGTTGCTTATTTGCTTGGCGTGGCATGTGTGCAAGCGCATATGACGAACCTTTGCATGCCCAAATCGGGTTTCTTCTCGGTAAAGTATTGCATTGGGTCGAGAATTTATTTGGGCCGAACCGTGACTTTTTTGGGCCTCAACAATGCTCCATAAGAATTTCTAATCTTAGTCATTGGATTCTAGATACGGAATACGGTGTCATTTTGTCAAGTTCAATGACCGTTCCATAAGAATTTCTAATCTCAGTCATTGGATTGCATGTATAATGCATATTTATTTATGTATGGTTGAGTTTAAAATTATTTAACTACTTCTAAACTTAAAATCATTAGTGGAGAACCAAGGTGGTTGGTGTGAGTGGTTCGGCACTCTCATTCCTTAAGAGAGGTCAGGGGTTCGATTCTTGCTCTCGTACGGAGTCACCACTTTGGCCAACACTTTACTCCTTACGGGCCGACCCGGTGTGAGTGGGGATTAGTCTGGGTTGTGGTTAAGGCTTAAAGGTTCCACCCATAGTTGGGGCCCATCCAGGACCACCTCATGGTTTAGACAAAAAAAAAAAAAAATCATTAGTGGAGAAGCTACCGCCACAATATCTAGTTTATTTTATTTTATTTGAGAGTATCTCGACTATACGAGAGAAGTAATATCTAATTTTATATTGGTGCAATGAATGTAAAAAATACTATAAACATGTGTCTTCATTAATTCAACATTTCACATTGATGGAACATATCTAATTTTATATTGGTGCAATGAACGTAAAAAATACTACTGAGAAAAACATGCATCTTCATTAATTCAGCATTTCACATTGATGGAAGCTTTGGAACCACTGAAGGTTTTGAAAAATTATGTCGACAGAATCAGCATGCTACGCGCATGCTGTCGGCACGCTGCGCGCATGATGCGAGCAGGCTGCGTGCAAGGGTAGGCATGCCAAGCTTCCAATAGCCTCACTTTCTCGAAAATGTCTTGAATGGGGAGCAATGCCAAGGCAAGGAAAGGCAAGCCACGACATGCAAAGGCCATCCTAAGCTCCCAATAGCCTCACTTTCTCGAAAATGCCTTGAATGGGGAGCAATGCCAAGGCAAGGAAAGGCAAGCCACGCCATCCCAAGCTTCCAATAGCCTCACTTTCTCAAAATGCCTTGAATGGGGTAATGCCAAAGCCAAGGCACGACATGCCAAGGCCACGGCATGGCAAGGCAAGGCAAGGCAACACAAGGCATGCAAAGGCCAAGGCAAGGCAAGGCATGCCAAGGCCAAGGCACGACATGACAAGGCAAGGCTTGCGAAGGCCACGGCCATTGAATTTCTAAGAAATTCCATAAGAATTTCTAATCCTAGTCATTGAATTGCATGTATAATGCATATTTATTTATGTATGGTTGAGTTTAGAATTCTTTAACTACTTCTAAACTTAAAATCATTAGTGGAGAAGCAACCACCGCAATATCTAATTTTTTTTATTTTATTTGAGAGAATCTTGACGATACGAGAGAAGCAATATCTAATTTTATGTTGGTGCAATGAATGTAAAAAATACTATTGAGAAAAACATGTGTCTTCATTAATTCAACATTTCACATCGATGGAACATATCTAATTTTATATTGGTGCAATGAATGTTAAAAATACTGTTGAGAAAAACATGCGTCTTCATTAATTCAGCATTTCACATTGATGGAAGCTTTGGAACCACAGAAGACAGAGCAAGTAGGAAGGAACTTTTGTTTTGCAACCTGGAAACTTTGACAGATGCAAAAGCGCGTGCAATGACCCCTGCCAAATATGTATATCATGGATTCTTAATGAACTCAACATTCACTTCACACTGGTGGAAGCTTTGGAACCACACAGCAGGATTTAGAATTTTGCTTTGTTTTGTGTTACCAAAAATATTTGGCAGAAACAAACAAACACTTTAATTAGAGATGAGAAAAAAAAGAGGGAAAAAACAGAAGAAGAGAAGAACATGATTAATTAGATATGTTTCTTCTCTCTAACCATCTGGTTGATTTTGCTTACCTTGGGCTGCTGCTGCTGCTGGGCATGCTGCACTTCAAAGTTCAAACATGACTGCCAGCACTATCAGCCTTGTGCAGCAACTCCTCCTCTTTCTCTTCTTTGATCCCTAATCTCTCATCTCTTTTCTTCAACTTTCTGTAACCTACTTTCTTGCCTGAGGAACACTTGGAATAATTACCATGCTGATCTTGCTTAGCTGCTTGCCTGCGCCTACCTTCTCCTTCACCAACTTCACATGGAAGTAGTAATTCATGATGACTACTTATTGGGCCAGAGGAGGCATCTGAAGCCATGGAGTCATCACTCTCATCATCATCAAAATATTCAAGAATTGCTTTCTTGTCACTGTTTTTCTCACCCCCTTCTTTGGGATCACTAATTTGATAAACATCATTGGTTTGAGTGTGGATTGGGGAGCCAATATACATTGTCCACCCAGACTCACTGCCACTCCATTTCTCTGGTTCAGCTCCTACAATTTGGGAAGGCTCCATTAAGACACACACACACAAAGGAAACTAGCTAGAGAACAAATTAAGTATAAAGTTAGAACCTACCTACAATGTGTGTGTTTATAACATGTTGATCACTGTATGTGCAATTCTCAACATTATCAGGAAATGCATTTATATCTGTCTGTCTCTTTATTATTTCCCTTCAACAAAAAAAGGGCAGTTTTTCACACAAAAGGACAATCAAACCCATCTCAACAGTAGCATTTGAAGAAGCCTCCTCACTTCCCTCTCATTATTGAATTGCCAGGATGCACGTATTCCACCTGGCAAACCTATCCCCATATTTTTCACTGTTTCAAACTGATTAAATCACTACAAGACAAGCTTCTGGGGGTAAAGAGAGAGATCTCTCGGGGTAAAAAGAGATTCTATCTTTGGAGCTAGGTTAAACAGTGAAGCACACAAGTAGGAAATAATTGGGCACCCAGCTAACTTGTCATCTGCTCTTTCACCTGAAATAGACAACCATTACTTCCCTGTGTAGCTTATAAATAATGACCAGCTTTTTCTTGGGGAACAGATGGGCTCTTATTAATTGGATATTGGATATTAATATTTACATATATATATTTTTTATTTTCTCTTGGTTCTAATGGGAGGTGAGTATTTTCTCTCTGAGAGTTGAAAAAAGTTCCTTTTAATTAAATTTTCTTTGAATTCTCTGTTCCAGCATCAAGAAAGAGCAGCTTTTTCCTGCGAAAGTTACAGAGCATGTTACCAATTTAAAGTCTTGGCATTTTGCATTGGATTGGAATGGATGAGGAGAGGGGAACAGGTCATTTAATTTCTTCCCCAACAACCAAGCTTACTTTTTTCTTTTGTCTCTTCTAGTAACTTGATACTAGGTACAGTTTTTACATCTAACGCAAGCAATAAGAATATATGTAGTCGTTTATTCAACAAAAAGAAAATACTGGTGTAAAAAAAGCGTTCTTGCAGCTATTTTTTCATGTCTGCTATGCTATATTTGACAACATTGTAGTGGAAGAGCAACTTTTTTCCAGTTTCATTAGATCAAAAGAGAATCACTTGCAGGGACATTTCAAATCAATTTAGCTGAAACAGCTGCCCTCACTTCTGTCACAATGTTTGGACAATTACACAATTCTCATGATGATCATTTGGCGATGCCCGGCCCGGCCGGAGGAAGGAAGAAAAAGGAGAGGGGAAAGGATGGATTTTTTTTTTTCTTTTGGCCCCTTGTGTTTTCAGTATAGTGAAGGGTAAATATGGGTTTTCAATTTTACAAAAAATACAAAAGATGGGCAGAAAGGTAATTTTGATTTCTTTTATTATGTGACTTTACTTTCTCTAAATAGAAGCATCCCAACATATGTTAATTTTGTTGTCTGACCATTAATTATGAACTAATGATTCAAATCTTCTGTAATAATTGACTTTTATGAAATGAATTAATAGTCTGATATATTATCCTCTTTCTTTTAGTACAAGTGATAATCTAATGGCTGAGACACAAATGATGCTATGAAGGTTTGAATCTGAGACTTCTGGTGATGTAGAACAAATGACTGAGACGACATCGCACATGCAAATGCAAAATTAATAATATATAAGTTTGGGCCCCAAACTCCGATTGATTGCCTTATTACGTTGTTATTGATATGCAAGTGAAGGCTTTTTTTCACTAGAGTAAACCTCATTGGCAATATATTCTCCACCTAAACCTGAACCAGTTCATAAGATATTTTATTTTATTTTATCCAAGTGCATAAGATTAGTACCATGAAATGAGACATGCTTTTAATAGCTGAAGCAGGTGCAGCGTGTGGCTTGCTTCAGAAGAGGATATAATGATTCCCAATCTTGTAATTAATAACCAAAAAAGTCGCGATCTTTGCCAAACCACATTAAAGAGATTCTTAATGTCAAATTCATCAAGGAGCTTTTATTTCAGCTCATTTTTGTTTCATCCAACCACAATAAATCCTTAGCTTTCACAATCACAAATTCCTCCAAGTGTTACAAACCCTAAAAATGGGTAGGCCCATTTAGCCCATTGCCACGTGGCGCACAAGAAAGTGATCTCCAGCTCCACACAATCAGCATCACATGGTGGCATAGCATCTATATTCAAGTCCACAGTGCTCACAAACTAAAAGGGGCAATTTCGCCGAACATGAAAGTTACAGTGGCAAACAAGTCAGAGAATCAAAGAAAACTAGGGGCGATTATCGAAAGGCCACTAGCCAATTAATAAATATTCATAAATTGACACAAAAAAGAAATATATTCTTAAATGGTATCGGACTGATCCCATTCCTAAGTCCTAAACAGAACTCTGCTGCCTCAAAGTTACAACCCTTTTAGAACAACAAAGAGAGACCTGGATGCCTCTGCTTCTCCATCTGATCCAAAGCTAGCGACTTTTTTGTTTCCTGGGAAAATTTTGGATCGCAGGAAGTAAAATCCGAGATGGGTTTGACTGAATACTTGAGGTCAATCGATTGGGAGCAAGAAGCGTACCCAGCATATGAAGATTTCACAATTCTTCTTTTGTTTATCCTCTACTTCCCAACTGTCCGATTTTTTCTGGATAAATTCGTCTTTGAGGTACTCACTCTGCTGTACATCCACATAAGTCTGATTGGAGTAGCTAAAGTTTCCATCTTTTTTTAGTTTACTGATGTGCTAACTTTGTTTGTTCAAGTTATTAGATCGTCAATGATGAATATGACCGGAATGCACTTGTATTTTGATGGGTTGTGTTTGGTTTTGAATTGTTTGATAAGCATACTGTAGTTATTGGATATCAAATTGTTCAACATGATATGTTATGATCTTTATTTTTGAAGAGATTTGACTGGTTGATGGCTCATGGTTTGATGCTGTAACTAAAATCAGCTTGGCTATTTGAGAGTCAATGTTTGTTTGCCCTGTCTTTGAGTTTCCTTTAGATCTTCTTTCTGCTTCTTGTTGTATATTCTCAATCAACTAAAGGGAGATAAAGAGAACCACTTGTTTTATATGGGAAGTTGATAGGGTTCTAGCACCTTCAGAGAATGAGAGCTGCTTGTTAATGAAGACGTTAAAGGTTGAAGAATGGTTGTTTAAATTAGTCCAGGGTAGCTTTCATTTGCATTTCTTCTCATTTACACCTTTATTTAATTTCTTCATTTTTTATCTACTACTACTTTGATATGTATTCATAATCAAAAAATGTGAATGTGATTGCATTTATTTCTCATAATATCTTTATTAGCTCTGTATAAATTGAAATTACATATTGCAGAGATTGGGGAGACGGTTAATTTTTGGAAAGGGACATCAGAAGCTGGATTTACAATCTGAAGAACAAAGGAAGAAGATTAGAAAATTCAAGGAGTCAGCATGGAAGTTCACATATTTTCTTTCAGCAGAGCTTCTAGTCCTTTCTGTAACTTATGATGAGCCTTGGTTTACTGATACAAAATACTTTTGGGTAGGGCCAGGAGACCAGGTCTGGCCTGACCAGAAAATGAAGTAAGAATTCTTAAAATTAGAATATATGTTACTTATGTGTTTGTTTAGTTAAGGCATTCATATGTGATGAGATTGACACTGTTGTACTGAATCATAGTTTGACTAATATCAAGAGCTGAGCTTTATTAAAGTCTATAAAATGACTACTTATGAATTTCAGGTTGAGATTGAAGGGAGTTTATATGTATGCTGCTGGATTTTACACATACTCCATATTTGCTTTGATTTTCTGGGAAACAAGGCGTACAGATTTTGGGGTGTCCATGGGCCATCATGTAGCAACAGTCATTCTCATTCTGCTGTCTTACATTTTCAGGTATGTTCTCATGGAGTGAGTTTGTAGCCTTCTCAAGTTCTTTTAGTCACAAAACCAAGGAAGCAAGAATACTACAACCTACCAAAGGTATGAAGGAGGGCTGATTTGAAGTCATAACTTATTAGTGTGTCATCCCCCTACCATACCAGGACCATGGATATTAGGGTTAAAACATCAAAGGAAATAGAAATGATACAATGTTTTACACAATACATTTCATTTAATAATTTTCCTATTATTATCTGTTTCTTGCAGGTTTGCCCGCGTAGGTTCAATTGTTTTAGCTCTTCATGATGCTAGTGATGTGTTTCTGGAGGTCGGGAAGATGTCCAAATATGGTGGTGCTGAAAGGACTGCTAGCTTTTCATTTATTCTTTTTGTATTGTCTTGGATCATACTGCGTCTCATTTATTATCCATTCTGGATCCTTCGGAGTACAAGGTTTGTCTAATTTGATACCTAAATTATACTAAACTTGTTTGATTTTCTATAGCTCCTTCATGTTTGTCTTCACCAGGGTCATAAATTAGTTGGTTCAAGAGAATATACAAAAGTGACTTATCATCCTTCAGTTCTTGTTGGAATAACAGACTTAGTAGTGCTACAACATGTTTTTTCCTAATTTATGTTCGGTAAATAGTAATGTCAAACTCCAGATAATGTTTGCTTTAGAAGCAGCAGTTTTGTGAAGTTCTTAATGTGTAGAAGAAAGGTTTTAAGGATGACAATGTCATGTCATGTGCAATTTTAGATCCCTTAGTTAGAGACAAATATATATTGCAACAAATCGCTTCATATTAAATGTAAGAGAACATGTTTGTATAAATTGAAAAGCGAACTATTGCATTTATGCTTTAAACTCAATTATTCATCTGTCTATTTTGTATTGCTTCCTTCTCTTTCTGGCAGCTACGAAGTTATCCTGGCATTGGACAAGAACAAGCATTCTATAGAAGGACCAATATATTACTATGTGTTCAATACTCTTCTGTACTGCTTACTTGTTTTTCACATTTTCTGGTGGGTGTTGATTTATCGGATGCTTGTTAAACAAATCCAAGCAAGAGGGCAGCTTAGTGATGATGTGCGGTCAGGTGAGTGAAAATCATGTTTGGTAGATGGTTTTCTAGGGTATGCATGCACAAAATTTGATGGATTTTGAAACAACAATTAATTCCTCTGGAAGAAAACGTTGAGGGATTTGGAAAATAACCATATTGGTATCGACAGTCATAAAATGGATAGATGATAATGAAGCATGAATGATTACTACTCATTTGTGGTAACATATGCACAAACTTCCTTGATTGCACCCTCCGAAGGGGCACTACAGTGAGCTAATACTTTCACTGCTATTCTATTTTTGTGACTGGGGCAGCGAAGGAGTTGGTTAGGCTACTACTACAGCAGTACCATGATGACTTGACTTATTTATTGGTTTATCATTTGTGAATGATACAGTGTAAAGTTAGTCAGATGGTTTTGGGAGTCTAAGTGAATGCATCATATGTAAAACAGTTTGTTATAATATTAATAGGCTTCATTGAGAAGAACATGGTGCCTTCAGTACATTAGTTGTCAGTGATTTTATTTTATGACCTGGTGTCTTCTATTGTTCCTCTTATTTTGTTGCCTGATCTTTGTTTCCTTTGCCTATCATTTCTTCCCTGTGTAGATTCTGAAGGTGAAGACGACCATGAAGATTGACCAGGAAACACAATTTACAGACACAATGTCACCCTCAGGCAAAGGTGCTCCACAATATTGGGGAAGCCATTGGGATTCCCCAAGAAAGAACCCACATTCTCATATTGCATTCATGTAGAATAAATTTGAGGCCGCTGTTTCAAAATTTTAGTCGGATATGTCATACACAAAAAGAAATGGGACACCTAAAGTGATGTCCTCAGATGCCATGTATGTTTTTTTTCCTTTGCTAGTTAGACTGAGGAATGCTGTTTCATGTGATTTGTCCTGCAGATGAGGAACGTGTTACGTTTACACATTTGATGTACTCTTTCGATGGTGAAAAAGATTTTGGTCAAAGAAGTGCATCGTGACGGAAAAAATTGTATGTTAACTGAGATAAGATATGGAAGCTGTGCAGGTTGAAGGAGTAGAATGGCAAAGGGAAAGAAGTTTTAACTATTGACTGAGCTTTTGGCCCATTTGCTGCCTTAAATTTGAGTCTGGTGACATGATTAATGTATTGCAAGGAATTTGATATGTGATTGGAATTGGTTATTAACTGTACACCTTTTCAAGTCAGCTGTAAGGTCTTCTGAATGCCATGGATCTATTTTCTGAAGTGTCCATATTTGAACTTAATTTTTCTTTTCTTTTTCCTTTTGAGTGATTGATTGATGGTCTAAGCCATCTTTACATTTTATT